AAGGCTCGTTCCATATATAAGTGTACGTGATGTGCACACGTTATTATGAGATAACTTCGTTCGTAGTTGTAATCGAGAAAAATTTTTGCCCGTAATTTCAGTAAAATGGCAAAAGTAACGTTAGGATGAAAAAAATATCAAGTAATATGTTGCTTTTTATCTGGGCAATGCGAGAAAATTTGTGGAACATTTTGTGTAATTTAAAGTAAACTAAATTTATTTTAGCAAAAATTAATTCTAAGTTTAAAATAAAAATTTAATTTAATTTAATGGAGAAAATTTATTCATAAATTCACTATATTATTAGAGGAAAAGTATTATTTTTAAATTAATTGTTTAATTTCATAAAACTCTACGTAATTTGTAATAATTGTATAAAAACACATTATGCATTGACCAGATTTTTGTAAGATGTAATTTTTATAACAGAAGCCAATATTGCTTGTTTAGAAACTGGTTTGCTTACAGAAGCATTGAGAACAGCGAGGTCAGAGTGTACTTTTCGGGGTTAACAATGGAGAACGTGACGGTAGTTTCGATTCGGTAGATGCGACAGCGAGCTTCAAACGAGCGCACGTAAAGTCGATTCGCGACGGTGAGCGTGCAAATCAAACGTTGTCGGAGCGGTGACTGTTTCATCGACAATTCGAGACGCAATTGTTTTCAGAATTTGGTATCAGGGGATGCTATTGAGACCACGAGATGCCAGGTAGATTTCGCGCAGCTGCCTCGATAAACCGCATTTCCTCTGTGCCGATGTTCCTATAAAATTTTCCAATCGATAATGGGAGCATATAAGTTAAATGATTTAACGGCCCGCAACGTATTTATCGGAGAATCGACGGTATAATTTCGCGTGATAATTTATAATGTCCTGGGCGCTTCGAATAAGGCTGAGAAAATATTTGCGATCCGCCATGATGAAAGTCCTATGGTCAACATTTTGTACAAAAAGTGCACAAAAAGTATATAACAAAGTTTTAGGAATATATAATACCAGCGGAGGATTATTCGTGTTACTCTAAAATTTTAATGAAATTATTAAATCCTATTATTAACTTGTAAACTTTATTTTTTATATGTTTTCCAAATTCAATCAATATTATATTAATTATCTATTGCTTTGAATGTATTGTCTTTATATTCGGAGAAGATTTTGATGCATGTTAAATCTATCTTTTTAAAAATTAACTTGGATAGCCAAAAACGCGACACGAATAATTGCAAATAAATTCGACCGCATCGGGGCATTATGATACACCGGTCATTATGGCGGACCGTCTATGAAACAATAAGCGCCTATTACGAATTCATCGCGATACTCGCGGAAGGACGGGCAGCAAATTGAAAATGATCGCTGGAGAGACTCGTCGAAATTCAAGTTTAACTCATTGAGTCATCAACGTTCCTATCGATTTCTAGTAGCATTTTCCGTTAACGAGCCATCACTTACACTTTGCAGTGCAAAGTGTATCAGAAATGCCAGTTCTTTCATCGAATTTCGTATATCCGGAGATGTCTGAAAACTGTTGCGACAGAAAAGAAAATCCCATCGAGTATCCCAAAACGAACGTCCCTGAAAAATTGATTTCCGGTTTGCGCGCCGGTCACGAAAGTCGTCCGGCAGATATCCCAGTAGTACCGGAGTCATTGTACGCTCCCGCGACACCTACAAAGGCAAAGTTTCCCCGAGACGAGACTTTAATTAATTGAAGCGATCCCGCACACTTTACCAGCATGCCAGTAGTTCCCAACGAGGAATTTCTCTCGCTGGCCTCGTGCTGGCTAACTTGGCCAGTTGTTAGTTGCGGTCGGAAGGCGGACTCGACCTGCCTGGCTGACCACATCTTCCCCTCTTTCACTTTTTCCGTCGCACTCTTTCGGGTCTGTCCATATATTATCCCATCCCACGTTTGAACGCGTATTCTCGCAGCACACTTTTCTTTGTTTCCCTTTTTGTCGCAGCTAATTGGATCATTTAACATTAATATTTCACAAATATAAACACTATGTGATTGAAACTAATTTTACTTCTACTTGAATTGCTATAACCATTTTCAATTTCGTTTAATAATACGTTTAACGTTGAAAATACGCCAACATTGTTTATGTGCATTTCTTAAAAATTTTAATCATTTTGTATTATTATGTATTTATTTATTTAATTCACGATGTGTTATCCATTCATGCATATTCTTGGTCACCCTATCATTATAATACACGCCCTCCCGGCATTGTGATATTATCGAAACCCCGCAGGGGATCAAATAAACATATCTAATGTGAATATATGCGCCTCCCTCTTTCTAGCTGTTATTTGGAAATGATTGGCGATGTTTTACCAATATCAGAAACATCCTGCTAATTTTCATTATTATGACGTATGAGTTTAGAAGAAATGATTACACCAGATCAAACGCAATTTTCCGTTCGATAAATCTAAATGAAAATTTTGCGCACAGATAAATGTCTCCCTACGAACTGATTGGCTGAAATTTTCATTTTGGATATTGATCACGTCCTAATCACGTTTGACTGTTAATTCGATCCAGCCTGATATTCGTCGACAGTTGGTGACGAATATCTAATTTACGCCTGGTCGAACGACGAATAATCCACGAACCGATCGAAAATAATCGGAGCGTGTAACGCTCGCGAAGAAGGGAGGGGAGAATCTGGTTCAATCTCGAAATCGAAACGCTGTTATTTCACGTCCATCGCTTTTATAATTAAACCGCCCGAATTTATTCGCTAGCGTTTCGTTTTCAATCACGACGGGATTAGTTAGTACCCAATGAACGCGTTACTGCCGATATAAAAAATACCTAACCTAACCGATATTCTGAAAAAAATAGTTATATTTTCTCCCTCTCCGCCAACGATTACCAAAGTTACCCTCTTCGGTTCGCAATGGATCGCATTCCGTTCTGTCTGATCGCTTTACGTCAGGCGATCCGATTGGAAACGTATGACTTATGCATCGACCGTATTGCGTTAGCGAATGAGCATGATGAAGTGGTACGATCACGCGATCGACACGTACGTTTCGTTATCACGCGAATCGGTTGGCAGCGAGCGGCGGGTGTATTAATTTTACGAATCGCCGAATGTGAATCGCATTAATCGAATTCACACACGGCGATCCGGCAATTATATAATAGCAGCCTATAAATACCTAAGACTAATTATTCTAGAGGCTATGATAGAGAGAGAGTGTGGCTGAAAATGCGAGCCGGCCACGGCGTCGATCGCTCGGTTTCGAAAAAAAGAAGATTGATCTATCTTGATTTTTGCATTATTAATGTTTTTCCGGATACTCGCTACATGATTTTAGTCCGCCAAATCGTTGAAACAATTTTTTTCTCGCAAAGTCTACTTTCCACGACGTGGCCAACTTCAAAGTTTTTTGAAAAATGAAAATGACCGATACTTATGCAATTATAAATTACTCTAAATCTTTGAATTAAAATTAGCGTAATAATTGCGTTCGAAAGTTCACGCGGCTCGACCCGCTTCGCGACTTTGCGTTTCGTCAACTAAATCGCAACGTGCCAAACGCGGCTGAATACGAAGCGAGAAGCGAGTCGAACCGAGTCTGAGAGAGACTTCTACGGTCGGGATCAAATAATTACGTGGATATAATATTTACAAATGAAAAATGTAGAAAGATATACATAGTACAAGTATATAAATATATAATATATACTCGGCTTTTACTAGGATTCAAGTAAACGCATGCACTTCTTAGGGATATCAATAAAAGAAATATATACATATATAATATATATATATGTATGTATATATAATACTTTCGAATAAGATGCGAAGCAACACTAGGATAAAAGTTACGTACCCTTCGTTATTTTTTTCTTTTTTTTATACTACATTTGCAATTTGTAAAACGTGAAAAGAGTACGAGGTACATCGAAAATAATTTACGCTCTGAACGGAGCAGGTATCTCCGAGGGAGCCAACTTAAAGTTAATGAAAAAACTTTTGCTGCAGTGGCGCTACTGCTGCGCTATTTCTTAGCCGTCGCAGCTTTTCTGAAAAAAACATTCTTAAAAATTTTAATTCCCTCTCTCAGAAGTGCACAAGGGGCGTGCCTTCCGGAACAACGGCAGCCGTTAAGTCTAATGAAGAAATGTAACATACGACGCGTGAATAATTCGAACATTTAATCTTTGCGATGATAAAGCATATTTCTCTCCACGATCTCATTTCTCAATTGTACTTTTCATTATCGTATTATTCACGAGTCGATGTAAAATTGTTTACGCGAATAATAACTTTCCGATGCTTTTGCGATGTAATTGGTGACATTTGAAATATTGACAGCCTGGAAACGATCGAGCCACCGGAAGTCTTGCGGCTTATCTCCATCAGTTTGTGTAGCAATTTCAGTTAAATTACGATGGATTATACGATACTGCGCGAGTGAGTTTTTTGCAACAAATTTATCGTAACAATTTCGTTTTTATCTCGACAGTTTTGGCTAAGCTGTGCTTCAAACTTAACGCAAATATTAAGTTTTGCTTTTAAATTATTGTTTGATTAATTGAAAAATTTTTGCATCGATAGAAAATTGTTAATTGATTGATAATTATTATCAAGTAAAATCTATTAATTATCTTTTATCGTTGTAAAATATATATTTTTATACGCAAATCGGGCGTGATCGCGCTGCATCTTCTCAAGCGGAATTTTTTCAGAATTTTAGCACGACATATACGTGGGCTTGCAATAAATCGGTTTAATCACGTGTTTTAACGACATGTCTTTTTACCGGGTATACCTTATTAACACGATGATTATGAGTGTAGTTAGTGCGCGGTTTTTTTACACGTCCATTTTAATTAAAAATTCTATTAAGAGACTGGCGCCCCTCCTTTCGCGCGCACGCGAGGCTGAAATGCTCCTGACAAATATTGTTAGTCGAAGCTACTGGTTTGTCAATACAAAATGAGAATCGCTACGCAGATGTAACGAGGCCAGATTACCTGTTGTACATGAGGATATCCGGTTTCCAAAGCTTGTTCGGCGTAATTCGAAGGTCCTTCACTCCGCCATATTCAGACTCGTTCCACTGGAGGTTGTAGTCCGTCCACTCCTACGCATAAAAAAGAGAGGATTATGAATAAAAAAAGTCTGATATAATGTTTCACAGTGCTCCATCGATTTAATGTAACATTATAAGCTTTACTTCTCGTGATCACTTAAAGATAATCTTAGTAATATATCTTTCAAGCTTCCGTGAATATAAATGATTTCTCGGAATAAAAAGATTTTGATCCGACAATCGATATTGAAAGAGAAGAAACGGTTGACCAACGTATAATATTCTATAATGATACACATTTCGACAAGAAATATGAAAATTGGTAACATACACAATAATATAATCCGGAGATACTATTAATTCGGATTTAATTATAAGTACAATTTCCCCGTTTAATAAACGCGATGAGCGTTCCTCCGACCAATCCCCATTATGCGAAATAAATGCTCGCGTAATTTTCAATTTTCGTCTCTCCGGCCAAGTAATATAATTATAAAATCGATATACGTGCTTGACGTTCGCTTTGACGTTTACATTATCGCCATATTCGTACTGTACAATGCACATAAATATTATAATTATTGTAGCGAGCAAAAATAATTCACATGATCAAATTTTATATCAACGCAGAAGACGGCTTTGCGGTCGGAACTTGTTTAATTTAATTGTAATGCAACACGCGACATGTGCAATGTACGATAAATATTAAATAGATATATTTTTTTTTTATTTTCAGCTTTCGCTACAAAATATTTAATCGTGTGCGGCACAATCATGATTTCATGATTTATTGCACTCTGAACATACTCTGGACAGAATTTCTCGCGATGACGGTGCTACGCAAGAACATGGATGAATTGTGCGTCATCCATTCTCAGGTAATACAGGCCGAAAGATTCACGGAGCTTTTGGCCACGAATAAATTTGCATCGAGTTAATTAATCTTCATTATACGAAAGATTAATTATCCGCGTAAACGCTATCTGCCAACGGAGTTCGGTCGGCCAAGTTGATCGAATTTTGCAAAACGGCCGGAGAAAGTCGACCGTGAACTTTGTCGTCGCATTAGTCGCAGAGTGCTCGTAAACAAGCGGATCTGGATCGTCGATTTGCGACAATCGTTTTGTCGTTCCGTAAGTATCAGCAGAAGCGGCGGAAGTTAGAAGAGTCCGCATTTAAACTTCGACGATCAAAGTTTTTCACGGGGGATCATATCATCATATAATTACGATTTATTTCTCAGCGGTGCACAATAATCCTACGGAAGTTATAATTGCCAAGATAAAATTGCGCGCTCTCACGTACGCGCCAATATAATGCATCCGGTGAAATTATAAACGGATAAGTAGTGTGTAATAATATTACTGCTCTCTAAACATTATACAGAACCGAGTAATTTACATGAGTATTATCGCCGATTACGCGACAACGTAACTCTATATTTCATTTACATCGTGCGTCATATGATAAAGCCGCTTTTAATCCAGCGCCATTACTATTGCGCCATTACTATTACCCCTTGCACAAAGGACACGATTTATGCGAACAGCGATTACGGAAGAATTGTATTATTGCGGTCAGCGCGAGGAAGGATGTCTCTGGAACTATCTCGCGAATTCGATAAATCATATTCTACCGGCAGCGAGTTACGCCTGAGAGGGATTCCTTCTGAAAACCGACGACCCTTCGGCTGAACGGATATTCAACGGAGTCACGTACCCGCCGCTAAATATTCATCGCTACAGGCCGCGGCGGAACAGGCCGCGAATCAGAAAACTGCAATTCCTCGAGTGCGAAGTTCGCGAAATCGGGGGTAAGGCCGCGTGGCATGCGCGACCTGGTTTTGCGATCGCGGCGGCGGCGGCGGCGGTGGCGGCGGCGGCGGCGGCAGCGACGGCGGCGGCATACGGCTTGCATAGGAAGCGCACCGCGCGGCAGCACGTTTCATAATGTATACTTCAATTTCCGGTTCGCGCGGCAAGTCCGCGGCGTTTGCTCATTAGATTACGTGGCTGAATTGCACAAACGAGAGAAATTCAGCGCGCCCGACACGGTGAAAGTATCCTTATTCTCGCCGGCTCGACAATGTCGTCCTCACCGGTGCGCAGAGATTCTCGAAATCCATTTTTGCACGAAAGTCGTCGTTTCCTACGCGCGCATCTCACGGAAGTAGAGACGCAATGAAAGCTACGCTGCTCTGCGACGACGACGATGGTGCCCGAAAAATAAAATTTTATTTCGCCGAACGACCGGCTATCACTCTCCGCTTTATACGGCAGTTCACTAACCATTTTTTTTCATGGGACGTCAATATCGTTGGAAACGCACGTCGACTGCCGCCAAATCGCGTCGAGTTTGTTCGCATGATTGAACAAAGAGGTCGCGGATTGCGACTTTTTTAATTGTTCGCGGTTCAAGGATAGTATTGTAAAATAGGGCAATAAACGTTTTTTATTTAATATTTCCATACTTTTTAATGGAAATTCGTACTTTGATATTACTACGATGCCAAACGCAGCGATCGTTTTTAATACTCTATGAAAATCGCACTTTTGTGCTTTGGCGAATATTTCGAGAAAATGTCGTTTACAACGCGCAACTCGATACAGAATTGTAAAGGGTTTATTCTAATTGTTGAGCACATATATTTGTCAGTATTGCGTAATAGCTAACGCAGTAGGATTTGAATAATGCCGATTGAACATATATTGATTGAATAACACGAATTTATACGCAATCATTCTTGTTGATAATTATATAAAGTAAATGCCGATAATTGATTTCGATGTGTTTAAACTTTACATCGGCAAATTTTAAATATCTATTTTTTAATTAATACGCTTTTTCTATGGGCGATATATTAGTTATCTAAACACCAACCAATCCACTTGATTTATTTATTTAACATCGTGCTAAGGCAACTGTTATAACAGTGTTATGTAGGGCGTGGTAACATAGTTCCCAAGTTGGCCAGAAAATCTCCACGCGAAAAATCTCCACGCGTCGCATTGTTTCACGAGACTAGTTTTACAACAAAGTATTCGGTATGCTGTTACTTAACTTCGCCTTCCTCTCCCGTACTCCCCTCTATAGTATGTATCGCAATACTTAACGAGCCATAACTCGCGCGTTTTCCGCTATCCGAGGCGTTAAGCTACATTAATGCTATAATCGAACCTTTTCCATGTAAAAGCGAACGCGAGAGTGATGCGGAAGAAAAAAATGAGGTCATCGACCACGATTATTACCAACGTTGGCTGCTAATAAAAATTATACAAGTTGTATCTAGAAAAAAATCGTATCTGTATTTCTTATATATAAATCTCTCTCATTTTTCCAACGTATGGTGTAAACAGAAAATATGGTCCGATTAATTGATATACAATTTGTGCTGTTTTACAAGAGAGAGTCTATATTTCTGAAACGATAAGTCTATATTTCTGGTTTCAATGAAGTCTGAAGTGATCCGTGAAGAAATGTTCGAAATTCTAGTGATTAAAAAGAAAAATACGATAATGCTGTAAGTCATTTTTCCATGAAGCGTGACAAAACTTTGAAGCTGTATCGGGAGCTATTAAAGTTTGGATTAAGTAAACGTCTCGACGTAATAAACGCCGATACGGGGTTCGGCCATGTCGATGCGGCGCGATAAATAAGCCATTTTTATACCGTGCGGCTATAAATTTCCAGAATCCATAATAACAGCGCGAGCATTAGGGCTGACGTCGAGAAATAAAGAGGCTTACTTGCATACACACGGAAAAAATGAGGTGAGGTAAGATACGTCAGATAAAGTAATAAATTGTGCACACAACTGTCAATTACAAAACAAATATGGAAAATAAAACAGTTAACAAAACAGATAAGTTTGTTAGCAATTTTACAAAAGCACTTGACCGCAATTGAAAGCGCCGGCATGCTGGCAAATTTGTCTATCGAAGGGAAAACTTTTTGAAAGCCAGTAAATTTTTTCTTTTACATATAGGAAACTTTTATCGAATCAAACTTTTAACCATTTATCGCGTGACAGAGATGCTACGGTGTTGTCACAATTTGCATTATAAATATAAACAGTGCCCGATATAACAAAGGGATATAACAATTCAGCGCACTTTTACGCACAATATGTTCTATTGAAAAACAACTGATATCGTCTATGTGCAAAGTTCACTTTTGCTTATCCAGCAAACGCATAAACAAGCAAGTTTTATACGAATATCTCGTCTCATTTGGAAGTGGCGAGTCTCAGAGGAGAGCTTTGCTTCGTTTCACTTCGCCGTTAGAGTGGAAAATAATTGCGCGGGTCACATAACGTACTAATATCGTTAACTAGCCCGTTAAGAAACCATGAATTACGGTGGCGTTCTTCTTGCGACCAGAGTAGTATGTGCGGGCAACTACGCACACATGCTATCCATCTCCGGACGGCCACAATGGGTAGGCGTATGCACATTCTACTGCCCCTCTCGCGCGCACATTAATGCAACGCGTGCTTCGGGTTAAGGTCGGGGGCTATATATGGCGATCTTCCGAAACCGCAGCTCTACCCAGGCTCGCACACAGTCGTGACACCGCGCTGACCGGAGCGACGATTCCGAGGATCGGATTCGTCCACGCCGCGCCGACAGACAGTAAATTATACAGCGGTGGCGCGTATTCCAAGTTCGTTGCCGTGATTTACAACGTCGGATCAAGTTACAACGAATTAATTACAACGCATGTTTTGTAAGAGCACTCCGTTGAACTACGCGCCGACTCTTTGCAGAGTGCAGATATGCCGATGAGTAATACAGGACTATGCGAGCCGGTGATATTTCACTTCTTCGTGTGACATAATATGTATTTATTCGTGCCAGCCACTGTCATTTTGCTTTATTATTTCATGGCAACTTTCATGTTCACTTTTTTTTTTGCCGATATGTCGATTAATCCGTTGTATTTATTGTGTAAATACTTGTCTATTAACTGCGATATCGAATATGATTGTACAGCTATTATTACATATTTGTCCACTATACCATATATAGATATATTTCGTACTATTTTCTCCA